CATTCGGGAAAGTATTAATGAGTATTTCTACATTAATTATTTATTTATTTAGTACAAGGAAACCCCTGTATGTGCGAGTTATTTATAACCAAAATTACAAACTGTTATGAATAACAATACAAAAAATAATAATACAACAATACAGCGCGTGACAATTGGACTAAAAAGAAAAGATAAAAAAAAACACAAGGTTAATATAAATATCATCTAAAATAATAATAATGTTTATATTCTTATAAGTAAAATACATGAAAAAGACGAATGAAAAAATGGCAGCGAAATTAGGTGCAGGATAAATTATTTTCCGCTTTCTGGCGGTGATGTGCGCAACAAAGAAATTAATTCGTTAAATCTGAGGACAATTTTTGTTTCAGAGTTTCCAACTCGTGAATTTTTTATTCGATTTTTACGAAACTTGCATTATTATTATTTGCATATTTCTTGTCTTACATAATTTTTGTAAATACTTTTTAATTGTATATGTTTTTTTCTATTAAAATAAGGTAGACCAACAAAATTGTCCTATTAATGGTCCAGGCCGTCTTAATTTACCTGTTAATATATAGTTATAAATGAAAGATGGAAACCATTTACGAAATTCATTTCTAACTATAACAAGGAAGATGATAAAAATAAAAAATTAAATTTTATATTTTAAACCATAATTTACATGAATCTGGTAGTAAATATAGGAAATTTAATTAGGCTTGAGATCATATCGCATAACGCGCAGTACTTTTTCATAGCGTGAATGGTATAGTAATTGTTAAACAAAAACGTAAAGCAGCCTTTATTTTTAAAAAAATGCTGTCAAAGATTAAGATATTCACTTCTTAGATTGTGACTTGTTCCCAAAAATTGTGTAGGTGTCCGGAAAGCTATAGTTACTTTACTCGTACTGAAGCGACGGTTAGATAACTAATCTGTAAAAGTTGTAACGTATAATAANCACACTAGGGAGCCCTCTTCGAAGCCTTGATTGTTCACCTTCCGGTCATATCGGGTCTTCATCTTTTCAGACATTTGTTGACCTGACCGTCGGATGTGGTCATATACGTCATTCATCTTATGACGTAAATCGTCTGCATAGTCAGTCATGCTACGTGGACTATCAGGCGGGGGTACCGGTAATTAAATCTGCGGGCAATCGTAGTTCTCTTCCAAAGTTTGCAAAGGCTGGCGTCACAGACGTACTTTCATGGACCGCGCAACTGGTACATCTGCGGCACCATTCTTCCACATCATCACGACAGTGGATCCAATAAAATCTCTCGCGGATTTTCAGTAAGGTTCTCTTCACCCATATGGCCTCCAGAGCAGCCGTCGTGGTACAGTTTTAGGACCTGTGGAACTTTTCCTTTGGGAACAACCAGTGGTGATATTCGAAATATATAACAAAGGGTTCGCTAACAGAAAATTTTTCCTTAACAATTTTCTTTTCGCTCAAATGGTGCATTAACAACATTAGCGCAAAAACTGATCTTAAGATACCCATATAAATAAAAAAGATGCGTTCGCAAAATTAAGTCAGTTAAAGTTTAACATTGTTTATGCCAGAACTATATATAGGCCTATTTATATTGATAAATAATAAAAAGAGTGTTCAAAATGGTTTATTTTGTACATATTTTAATATTTTTCATTCGAAGTATTTTATAAACATAAAAATTGGCTTATTTTTAATCAGAAAAAGTCAGGTTTAACTGCTTTCGCTATGACTTTTCCTCAAAAAAAAACTTTTCTAAATCATTTATTTTATCATTAGGTATTATTATAATAATAGACAGATGTCATCGTCTATCGAAATACAATATCTTTTTTATTTCGCTGGCAATAGCACGACACGTGTTCCGCAGCCATCTTGTATTTTCTCGCGCGCGTGGGATTGTGGGACCTCTCGTACGACCAGACTAGTTTCAAGAACTGTCATGAGTCGATCGAGATTGAAACGGTCGATGGAGGTTGCACCAAGGCGAACTGGGTATAAGGCTCTCGTGTAGTAGTGTTACAGAGTATAATACGTATATTTTAATATATTTTTTAAAAGAAACAAAACCACTGAAAAATATTACGTGTGTTTAACAACGGGTTCGGAAAACTTTGAAAATGTTAACAACGGGTTCGGTCGAACCTGTGCGAACCCGCTGAATATCACTACTGGAAACAACCACTTGCAGATGGTAGCTGTCCCCTCGGGTACTTTCCCACTTACGGCACAATATCCCATCCTGTATGGTCAAGCTGTCCCATTGTGCCCAGTAGCTCTTTGTAACTGGACTCATAGCTGCAACATCGCTCCAGTTAGGCCTAGGAGCATCAGCCTTCAACCATTCGAGGATCGGCTTAATGTGCGCGTCCTTTTCCTGAGCCTGTTGTAAAGTTTCCTTCCACTCGTTACCGATCTCCATTTTCAGCATTTGCACAGGAACAATTTCTTTAGCCTCTTGTCTGACACAGTGCATACATCCACACAAGGCCTTCTCGACAAGGCGTCAGCATTACCATGCATTTTCCCTTTACGATGTTCAATCACGAAGTCATACTCCTGTAGCAGCTCTATCCACCTTGCTACTTGTCCTTCTGGATTCTTGAAATGCAAAAGCCACTTTAACGCAGCATGGTCTGTACGCAAGCGGAATCTTCGTCCAAGCAAGTAGTTGCTAAAATGTTGCAAGGTTTTAACTACGGCAAGTAATTCCCTTCTCGTCACGCAGTAATTTCTTTCCGGTTTGGATAAGACTTTGCTGAAGTAGGCTATAACCGATTCTTGATCTCCTTTTCGTTGAGACAAAACTCCGCCGATCCCCGTGTTACTCGCATCTGTGTCAACTACAAAGTCATTTCCAGTGTCAGGGTAGCCCAAAATTGGTGTGTTGCACAGACGCTCCTTTAATTCCTGGAATGCAATATCACAACCCTTGTCCCAGCAGAATTGTGTCTTCTCTTCAGTAAGTTTATGTAGTGATTTGGCAATATCAGCAAAATCCTTCACAAACCGACGATAGTAGGAGCATAAGCCCAAGAAAGCTCTAACTCCTGTTTTGTCGTTTGGAACTGGCCAATCTTTTACGGCGACGATTTTATCCGGGTCTGTCTGCACCCCCTTTTCCGAGACAACATGTCCCAAGAATTTAACTTGCCGTCTAAAGAAGGCGCATTTTTTCGGGCTCAATTTGAGATTAGCTCCTCGTATTTTCAATAACACTCGTTCCAGGTTTCGAAGATGATCCTCAAATGTGCGGCCCACGATAATTATATCATCCAAATAGACAAGACAGGCATCCCCACTCAATCCAGTGAGTACTAGCTCCATAAGTCTTTCGAAAGTAGCTGGGGCATTGCACAGCCCAAAGGGCATGACCTTGAATTGCCACAAACCCTTTCCTGTGGAAAATGCAGTCTTCTCTTTGTCTCTAGGGTCTATTTCCATCTGCCAGTAGCCACTTTTTAGGTCCAGGGTAGTGAACCACTTCATTTCTGTCAGCGTATCCAATGTGTCGTCAATCCTTGGCAGTGGATAGCTGTCCTTCTTCGTAACGTTGTTCGGTCAACGATAGTCCACACAGAAACGCATGCTGCCATCCTTCTTCTTTACCAGGACCACAGGTAAACACCATGGACTAGATGAAGGCTCTATAATGCCATTCCTTAAAATTCCCAGAATCATGGCATCCACCTCTTGTTAACGTGCCATCGGTGGCCTTCTCGGTCGCTGACGGATTGGTAACTCATTCCCTGTATTTATTTTGTGCCGAACCAATCCCGTCTTCCCTATATCAGTGTCGCTTGACGAGAAAATGTCGGCATATCGAAGCAACAATTTTTTACCTTTGTTTAGTTCTTCTTCCGACAAATCCTTACGACATTCCTCCAGAAGCAATGACACATTGATCGCGGAATGTTTCATGTTGGTCACAGTAGGTTGTTCTTGGCATTTACGCATCCAAGCAACTTCTTCACAGGTGCCCATTAAAGTGCCTCCTCCAACAACCTGTTCCCTATCACCCGGATTTAGAACATGTACTGGCGAAACGTTAGTGGCCCTCACCAAGGTTCGCGCCATCTTCCATGGTAAACTGCTGTCTAAACCCTCTACAAGGACACAACGATTCTTCTGACCAGCGTTATCTGGTAGTTTAACTGGTACGATAGTTTCTGATCTTGGGGGAAAAACAATCTTATTTAAGCAGCACACATTATCCGGCGATGCACCGTCCATAAAAAGTTCTGCTAAACCGCATTTTAAGATTCCCTGCGTGACATCAATCTCACAATGATGTTCCTTCATGAAGTCCAAGCCCAGAATGCAATCGTCCCTTATATCGGCAATGATAACCTTATGCCGATAAATCTTGTTGCCTAGTTGCAATTCCACATCCTTCTCGCCTCGGACGGATATGTGCTGACCGGTCGCTGTTATAAGACGAATACGATCATGTCCACTGAAGTAGTCCCCAAGAAACTGATTTTCCAGTTGAGAACTGATGACCGTGCGAGAATCTCCAGTGTCCAATGTCAGCTTACATGGTGTTCCGTTAATTTCGCCTTGAATAATCAGGCTATTTCCATCGTGGGCTTGGGAGATCGAGATTTCTGGGGCTCCCTCAAAACCAGCTAGCACCCGCCCCGCAGTCCTGGCACTTACTCGTTTCCATGCTGCCACTGCAGCTGGGCGGTGGTATCAGTCACCTCTAGCTTCTGAAGTCCATCCTCTTTTCGGTCTCTCCCAAGATGCCCTCGCTTTGGGCAATTCATCTGCAGGTGTCCCCTGGCTTTACAATAGTAACACTGGGGACCTGTCATTACAACCTCCCTAACACGATGGGATCGATCATCGCGTCTTACTGCCTCCACCTCCAAAGCATGGGCCAAAGCATCCTTCAGAGTTTCATGATGTCTCAATCTGACAGCTGCTCGAACTTCTACATCGAGTATATTCCATCTATGAACGCTTGTACAAGTAGTCCCTCAACCAATGCAGGTGAAGACTGATACGCTTTTCAGTCCAGCTTCTCAACTTCCAATGCCCAGCACTGTAGAGTCTCGGCACTACGTTGCGCACGGTCCTTAAGCTGCGCCCGATACACGTGCTCAAGATGCTTGTCTCCATATCTGGACTCCAATGCCTCCACCAGTTGGTCATAAGTGACATCCTTACTGAGGGCCTCTAGTATAGTCAAGGCCTGATCGCGGAGGGCCAACGTGAGTGCTGTCATGGCCTGTGCTTTAGTCCATCCATTCATCCTCACCACGGCTTCAAACTGAATTTTATAAGCCGACCATGAAGATGTCCCGTCGAAAGGCGGTACTTTAAATCCATGTACTGCCGGTGTAGCTATAACGGGAGTGGCATTCCCAGTCTCAGATATGAGCTTGACCAAAGCTTTCTCAACATCTGTGATCTTCACTTCAGCTTTGGAAATTCGATTCTCATGCCGTTGTACCTGCTCTTCATGGTACTCAACCTGCTCCTTGATTACCTTTAAATCGCTGCCAATCGTTGCATGCAGTTCCTTCAGTTGACTTGCCTGCTCTTCTTGGCCTCGCTGGAGTTCTTCTTTCATTTGACGTGCCTGCTCTTCTTGGCCTCGCTGGAGTTCTTCTTTCATTTGACGTGCCTGCTCTTGCATATTTTTCAACTGATTGGTCTGCTCTTGCAACGCCGTCAACAATACAGATAAATCAAGCATAGCAGGTGCTGGAGTAGCGCCAGTGGTGCTGGCGGTTAAAACAGAGTCAGTTGTTTGCTGACCATCTAATGTCCAATCAGAAGATTCACTAAAACGTCGCTGATCCATCGCCTGTTGTCGCTGTTGACTTCGTGTACGAATCCCTTCAGTGTCTTCTTTCGGCATAACCGGAATGATTCACATCGCACTCCTGACACCAATTTGTTACGAGCTATGGGGCTCGGGATATAAATTCAGAACACAGTTTACCGAAACCGACACTTTTACTTAGATACACTAAAAAACAAAAACGTTATATAACTCGTTAAAAGAAAAACACAAATCTTCTCGAACGTCCTAATTTTTCGAATTGTTTTTTTTTTCCTTTTCTTTTCAAAAACATTCTTTTTTGTTTCGCCGCTCTCCGCATCATGGTGCTAGTCTTTTTTACAGCCGGCGCGACAATATTTATCCCAGTCCTGCAACAATCGTTTATATGCTTGGATCGAAAAACAATCTTCACCAAAACACTTTTGTCTGACTGCTGTCAGCGCCTTACATTCCGTTATTACATGAAAAGCGTCAAAATTAACAGTAGTATTACAAAATTCACAGTGCTCAATACATGGACTTAACATTCTTCTAATCATATTACATCGCACATATAATACTGCTTGTGTAATACAAAAAAGGTCTTTCTATATTCAGATAGGTCATCGACCCCCATTCATTAAAAACATCCAAATACCATTTATTATATTTATAATTAACCGCCTTATATTTAAACTCAGTTATATAATTATTCGCCAAACTCATTAAAATATCGATTTTATTTAACATTAACATTATCAGATCATTTCGATAACCAGATTTCTGCAACAAAGACACAATTCGATCTGCCCACGCTACTCTTTGAGAGATTAAAAATATTTTAGCGGACTCTGTAAGTTTTCTAGCAGACTGTTTGCATAACCATTTTAAATTATTTTTTATTATATTAAAATAAAGGGGGACTCTGAAACTCCAAATATAGGCCTATATATAATATACGATGGAATCCATCTCTTTAGAGAATATAAACGCTTAATAAAATTAATTTGTATATTATCATATCTATTTCTCCAATAAAAGCCCCAAATTTCAGATCCATATAACAATACTGATTGAATAAATGACTCAAATAATTTTAATTTATCTTTCCAACGTACCAATCTACCAGATACACAAGCTTTAATAATCTTATCATTTCCAAAGGTCGCTTTACTGTGAATATACTTTAAATGTTTTAAGAAACGCCCATTAGACTGGAAAACTACACCCAGATACTTATAGGCTACTCATCAACTACATCTATTTTGCGATTTTGTAAAAACCAATTCTCATTATTAGAATGTTTTTCTCCATTTCGAAATACCAGTATTTTAGATTTGTCAATGTTAACAGACAGTTTTAACTTTTGTAGTGTGTATCCTAAAAAGTCAATCATTCTCTATAGACCTATAGGCGAATCTGCCATAACAACCAAATCATCTGCATATGTCAAGATTTTCATCTCCGTTTCCAAAAGATCAATGCCCACCAAATTAGAGTCGTTCAGTTTACTTACAAGTGGATATAAATATAAATTAAACAGTATTGGACTCAATACACAACCCTGTTTCACACCTTTTAACGTGAAAAATAGATCAGTCGTACCCTCCTTAGTAGGTACGCACGCCTCTGTATTAGTATACAACTGAATCAAAAAATTTACAAATTTATAGCTCAACCCAATCTTCAGAAGTTGACTGCATAAAAGATCTGTATCCAACGAATCAAATGCCGACGTCAAATCAATGAAGAAGGCGTAAAGTTTATCTCGTTTCTTCTTTTAAGACTTCTGTATTAAGGCATATAAAACAAAAATATTATCCGATGTCGAAAAACCAGACCGGAAACCAGCCTGGAAATCTAAAAATATTTTAAACTTATTCAGCCGATATCAAACTCATACATAAAATTTTACAAAAGACTAGAAATTGTCGGTAGTAACGAAATTGCTCTATAATTATCAGGTAAATCTTTAAGTCCCTTTTTAAATATAGGAATAATCTTACATATGCGCCAGTCTAAAGAAATCATCCCTGATTGATAAACATTATTAAACAGACCTACCATATATCCAATCAGATCTGGGAAATTCTTACATAGTTCCACCGGTATCCCATCAATACCTGGAGCCGTACCATTTTTCATAGTAGCTAGAACCTTTTCGACTTCCTATTCTGTTATCTCCGTATCCAACAACTCGTCCTGCCAATTCATACACCAGTTATATACAGACATATCCGGTAAATATTTATTAGAATGAAATTTCTTTGAAAAAAAAAGCTACCCAATCAAGATCTGGCAGCTCCCTGTATTTACTCTTAACAAAGAAATCGCCAGAACTGTTTACTATCACCAGACGCCAAATTCTTATTGATCTTATGCAAAAAAAGCTTTTCCTTAGCTCTACATAAATTGCGAGTCACATTAGGTTCTTTAACAAAATTCTTCACAGCAACACTATTTCCACTCTGCTCGTCTCATACTGTTCAACGCCTGATTTCTTCTTGCAATACTCAACTTACAATCCATATCAAACCACACGAAATTGGAAAATCCAACCGGCCTTTGACACCAATATGAAAATGATGATTTAATAAAATTAGTTAAACCTTCGAACGTTAATACTGACTGACTCTGAATCGCACACAATAGTTCCCTATACTTATAATCAGGGCTGTGGAGTCGCGTAAAAATCTACCGACTCCGACTCCGACTCCGGCTAAAACACTAAAACTCCACGACTCCGACTCCACAGCCCTGCTTATAATTTATCTTTCCACTACCTTCTTCCCTCCAAAAATTCTCTCACTCTTACTCAGACCTCTTAAATGATTTTCGAATTTTCTTCTTAGATTTACAATCTAAAACTACACTTATCGGAAAATGATTACTATACACTTTATCTAATACAGAAAACCTTGTTACAATAGATAATCTAATCTATTTCTAGATTAACAATAGCTTCGTCCAAATTTTCTACCCAGGACTAGATTCTATCAGTTTTAGCAATCATTCTTTCCAATTTCTTATTCTGCTTTAAATTTAACTCAATAAGTAACGATATCCCATCCTTAATATTAAATTCTCCCTGAAGTAACTCCAAGATACTCGTCTCCTCCAATGGGTCAAAATGAAAAATCTGAGATCTACTATCCGACTGACTTACTGGTCTTCCCTTTAGACATGACGAAACAAACCAGTGAGCTTACCTGCAAAAAATTAAACAATTATTTAAAATACGCCCAATAGTGCCGACCATAAACGCTGCTCTTTCTACATTAATTAAAATATCTATAACCGTGAGGCAGATAATAGTAAGGGCTTATCACACCAATGATAATGGGCACAAACGCTCAAGAATCAAAGTGAAAACATTTAATAAAACAAAAAAGAATGTACAATAAGATGATTACATAAGTATAGAAACCGAAAAATCCAAAATGCATTACCGGGGCATAACAGGAAGAAATCTATTATAATGGACTATTTTCCAATAGAAAAATCATCAGTTGGTATTTACGAGAGGTTTTAGTATACTGAAAAAATTATACAATGTGACAAAAATAAATTTAAAATCAAACATAAAACTATGCCTAAAGCTATACAATACAAAGATGAAAACGTCGCCATGACTGTATATGCAATAAGCATTATCAATGTAGACAGGAGTAATATTTCTTCATAACGTTGTATGGTAACGTGATTAACAGGGTGCTGATACAAAAATAATTATGAGTTAGCCGAATTATCGGTTTACAGTTATAAACTAATGTTATGCAGTCATTTTAAATTATAAACATACCAAAAACAACAGGACAACAGAGTTGCAGGTTCAGACATTTCTACAAGATGTAGAGAGCGGTTACAACGAAGGTGTGTTAACTTACACATCTGGAGCACAAGTGGTGACAACATATGATGCAGCCAGATTTCGTTGTTAATTTAATCTATTTCATCCTTTAATAGATGAGTGTAAGATCTTGGATACCCCCGTTATTAATTAATTAAAAGTTTAAATAGTATTAATGAATTTAAGAAATAATATTTCTAATTTTTGATGGAAAAAGTTTAAGTTAAAAACGAATGAAACTGGTAAAACACACTTTCTTTTCAACGGAAGTTCCACATCCTTTCGTTTTTCCCTTATCTTCGAAAATATGAGTCACACAACGTACAGTTACCCCTCTGTAAATCCCACTCATCCTGCTCACGTGGGAAGAATACAATATTTTCATTGAAGGAAAACATCGAAAAAGGAGACTTTTTTGGTTTTGCTTAGGGAGTACGCCACCGACTCTAAGAGAAGAAAGACGTATTCCATGCCGTCTCTCCATAGCCAACGCCCAAGGTTCATAAAAAGTTTGTCTCTATGTTCCCGAATGAAGAAAATGTTTTATGAAGTGCCGCCTGAGATTTACAAGGGACTAGCTGTTACCCGCGACTTCATCCACGGAGGTTTTGCGAGCAAACCCCATTTACATTCAATATTTCAATAACCATAGTAATTGTTAGGTCTATATAACACCTACCGCTGAAGAGAATTGCCGAGAATCAAACGAACTATTTTCAATTTGATCAATTCTCTGGAGCGTTTACAATCGTTCTATACTCGAACCAATATGCAATAACAAATTCTAATTTAAAACGGTTCGAACATTTTTAAAATCGAAATAGATAAAAATATTTATAACAATGTCTGAAATGTTATCCATTTAATCCATTTAATACACCTAAGTACTCGATGAAGACTAAAACTTCTCCCTCTCCCGCCTGCGGGAGAATTTCGAAAAATTCCTTCTTAGTGTGCATTGCCGTGGCATACCCTACTAAAACGCAGATAAAAACAAAAAATCGCATTTAAAATAGTACAGTAGAAGCCGTTTTTCCGGTTAAGCCTTAATCCTCTCCCTCTCCCCCCCGCGGGGAATTTTCGTAAAATCCCTTCTTAGTGTGCGTTTCCATGACGTACCCTAACTGTCTACCAAATTTCACCTCTCTACGTTAAGCGGTTTGCTCTCGGCGATGATGAATCAGTCAGTCAGTTAGTCAGGACAAGCAATTTTATATATTTATATATTTAGACAAGAATGAGAACCTGAAGAGAACCAGAGAAATTAAAAACATTCACATCGATACGAATAGAAAGAATACAGAAGAATATAAAATTTGTGAGGTAGTATGATTTTTGAACCGAAGTGTAATCTCTCTCTCCGCGACATACATATTAATACGTTGAAAGTATAATTTGTATATTTGATCTCGTTTTATTGAATGTTTAAAAAAAGCCTCATATATGTCTGAATCGAAAGATCTCCTCTCCGTATTAACGAATTAACCGCGAGTTAAACCTCGAGATAATTGTTTAACTGGTGTCAAAAATCCTGACAAAGAGAAGAATTTGATTTCGAAATCACTCTTCCCCTCGGCATTTACTTTAAAGCCTTCCTAAATAAAGTGAGCCAATCTAACGATTGTGTGTCATTAATTAAGAGATGTAGAAAAACTCTATGTCCTTGAAAACTCACACGAGGGCCGATGCACAAATATGTGCCCATTATCATTTGTGTGATAAGCCCTTACTATTATCTGCCTCACGATTATAGATATTTTAATTAATTTTACTTCGGGCTAAAATTAATGTCTATAATAATAATTATTTCTACAATTTAAAAAGAACGGAAACTTTCAATGCAAAATTGAGAATGACTCGATTATTTCCCGATAAATGTTCGACAGATAAAAGTAATGAAAACGATAAATTACGGGATGTTAGAGAAGTCAATTATTATTTCGCGAATGGCATATAATCTCCTCACCAGTTTAAATACAGTAAATTCTTACTTATTCTAATTATTGCAAAAAATGTAAAATATGTAAAATTCTTCATTTGTTTGAAAGTGTCCAAATAAGAAGAAAATAAAAAAATGAAAAACTCGTTAATTAAGAAACTACGAACATTTTAAAATTATTCTTTGGAAATTTTTAAATACGAAATGAATTTGTGTAAATTGTAAAATGAACGGAAGTACGCATTACTTTCATTTTTGCAGTGTCAAGTTACTTTATTCGTGGAAACAAGAATATACATTTATTTGAATTCTATTCCTTGAAATTTACAGCAAGATATAACCTTGTGCTCCGTTTTTAGTACTTCCGCATAAATGTCGTAGAATCCCTGAAAATTCCAAGAAAATTGCATTAAAATATATTCGGAACGTTAGAAATACACGTTGGAAGTTGATTGTACTCGCGACTTACCGGTACAAAAATTTTGGGTATAGTGACGCACATCTGCATTGGTCCCTTTTCAACTTGACGCATGTTTCGATTTCCAAAGTTCCTAAAGTCAGATGGATTGTTAATACAAAAGTATTCGGCATTTTTATCTTTCATACATTGCTTAATCATTTGGAACACCTGTGACACAGATAATGTCCTGAAAAGTAAATTTTAATGTTTTATTGAGAAAATATACATGAAGTAATTCGAAATTTTTTAAGAATTTTTTAGTCGTTATAACTTAATAGAATTATATCAAATTACTATCTTATATATAGTCATATTAATCCAAAAAATCATTTTTAGTTGAAGGTCTCACAGCACTTCTAGTTAGAAAATAAAGACTTTATTGCACAAATTGTACGCAGGCTACAAATGCATTTCGGGTTGTAAATCTACAACCCCTCTTCAGTGCTGTTAGAAAAACAACAATATAATTAAGAACCCGACATTACTTATATTGTAAACATAAACTTTTACAACAAGCACTTACATGTTTCATAGAAAAACGACAAAAAAAGATTCTATTTACACAATTTGTATTTTTCACAAATACAGTAGAGCGTCATTTATCCGAAAGTCTGTTATCCGAAACGTCGGTTATCCGAAAGCATTCCAGTCTGCAAATTTAAATTTTCGCTAGTGCTGTGGCGCTGCAATCTTTGGCTATATCTTGGGCTACGCCAATATTTTTTTTGTTGGTGCGTGTGTTTTAGCTGTCAGCACTGGCGCTTTTGTGTGGTGTTTGTTTGAGGACAGTGTGTCGTGCTGAATCGAACGTTTTTGATACTAGATCAACTTCTAAAGCAGGGGTGTCCAACCCGCGGCCCGCGGGCCGCATGCGGCCCAAGGCAAGTTCCAATGCGGCCCAATAAACGTGTAAACAAAACCGACAAATGTTTTAATTTTTTTATTATTTATTTATTTCAACGGCATAAACTCAAAAAAAAAGTTTCACAAAGCCGTAAACTTTTATTCATATTTTATTTTTGAATGAAAAGAAAATATTTTCAAATACTTGGAGATGTGTGAATGCGGAAGGATTACTAAATAAAGCTGGAGTTGTGACTCAAAGGATTATAGACCCAAATTTGGGAAAAGGAGGGAAAGATGAGAAAAAACAAAAGATGTAGTAGTGAGAAAGGTTAAATAGATCTTCTGTTGACCCTTAATTTTCCAACCTTTCTCACTTTTTTATCTTTTGTCCTTTCTCTCCTTTCCCTGCACTTGGGTCTATAATCCTTTGATTCACAACTCCAGTATTATTTACTATTTTTTCCAACGTTGCAAGATTTGGCTACATTGCGCCAAATGTGGCTACTTTTTTTGTTCGATGCAAAAAATATCATTTGGCGCTTTGGCTACTTTTTGGGCTACCTATTATTTATATTAGTTGAATAAAAATGCACTTTAAAATGGTGTTTCGTTGCTTTTTATTAATTAGAGACCCAAATATAACAAACGTCTGTGTCTTTCAAATAAATTTCCGTTTGTCTCTTTTATAATAAATGAATTTATCTATTTCTAAGTAAAAATTGAAAGTGTCTGTAGAAGTAATTTTTTAAAATATCCTTTTTTCTTGATAAAGTTTTAATACTTATTATTATAATCTAGACATGTTAATTTTTAAATATACTTGTATATTGGGCCACAAGTATATATTATATATACTTGTGGCCCAAAACTCCTTGACTTCTTCCACTGCGGCCCAGAAAAACAAAAAGGTCGGACACCCCTGTTCTAAAGTATATTTTTTTTTCATTTTATATTTTTCAATATATTTATTTTGTTTGTACAAAATAAAAAAATAATTTTTAACGATACAATAGTCACGATTATTATTTTAAAAAGTTTTTGTTAGGCTTAACATCGACGAAAATTCAATGCGAAGCGACAAGCAACGGAGAAAAATTTCAACATGGGTAGGTTAATATATTTTTTCGTACATAATCGATTGTCCGAAAATAAGTTATCCGAACAACCCCATTCCACAATTCATTCGGATAAACGACGCTCTACTGTATACATTAATTAAAAAATCCACTATATCGTATAAAATATAATGTATATTTATGGAAACAATATATAAACTTGAATATACAGCTAATTAATATGCATCTATGTCCTTAATTTAATCAAAATTATTCTTTCAATCACTATATCAGTGTATTTCTATTAATAGGACTTATGATAAGTCCTATTAATAGAAATACACTGATATAGTGATTGAAAGAATAATTTTGAATATACAGCATTCATATTACACAAAGAACATAAGAACACGATAATAAAATTACTCTTAATTTAAAATATCTTAAATTAAATTCTGTAAACATACATGTTCTTATCGCATTTGCTCTTGTCTTCGCCGGATTTTACAGCAGTTAAATGAAATAAAGCACTGCACGGCATGTTTTCTCGAAAATTCCAATCTATCCAAACAGTAAACGGCTTGTTGCTATTGATTGGATATGGTTCAAATCTTTGGACGGAATATTCTAATTGTCGACTGTTTTCATCGTCTACGAACGATACAAAATGTTACCAATGAGTCGCGGTAAATTAAAAATCACCAAACACTTTAAAAATCAATTCATATTTCATAGTTAAAAGATAATTCACATCATTAAAAACATTAATTTAAAATATTTTATCGATTTTCCATTTTTTATGGTTAATCGAATAACATATTTTACCAATAAGTATGAGTGCCAAATGTTTTCCTAGATTAATGCAATATTACGAAACGGTGAAAAACTGCACGAATAGAACTACGACAAAGAGTTTCTCGTATTGCAATAAAGCCAAAATTCTATTGTCTTGGCAAAAGGTTAAAATTATTTAATTAATAATAATAAATTCAAAACGCACTCACCGCAATACGATACTTCGTAACACTTTACCCACGAAAATTGAATTAGTATAAGAAAGACGATCAAGGCGTACGACATATTTGCCATCTTATAACAATTCTGTCGGGAATAAGATAAATAAATACCTATAACTGGGTTTTTATTGGCTTGATTATTTACGGGGGGACTGTTTGCCGAGCAACAGCTGCTGGTCGACGAAATATGCAAGTAAAGTTTCACTTTTTCATTGTCTTGTTAATAATGGTGAATTTTAATTTAATTTTCATACTCTGTGATAAATACAAAGACAAATATTTTAGCTTAAAATTAATTAAGTATATTTTAATTAAAATAAATGAACGAAAAAATAAAAAATAANATAATGGTGAATTTTAATTTAATTTTCATACTCTGTGATAAATACAAAGACAAATATTTTAGCTTCAAATTAATTAAGTATATTTTAATTAAAATAAATGAACGAAAAAATAAAAAACAACGTCAACATTTTACTTTCGTACGTTAATGCTGGTCACGTATAATTCAAATTCAGGAAGTCGACATCAGCACTGGAGTTTATTCAGCCGTAAAAATTCCTCCCGGAAGATTAAATCCAAAGAAATTTGTAATATATGTGGATATTATTTAAACATTATTAAATACTATAGAAAATTTTTTGTCGTTTTGTGTCCGAGATTTGTGTAGTTCGTTACTGATGCCGTAAGTGATAAATAAATATTTGTAATCAAGCGAGGTGATGTTCTTTTTTCTCGTACGGTGTCTTGGATTCTATAAGCTGCAAACTATTTAAATTAATTTTTAATCGACTGACCACGGTGTCTTTTTAGGGTGCCAGTTAATTAAATTGTGTTGACTCTTGTAAAGCGAGGAACAAACACGTGAAGTGTACGATTGGTTATTCTGTGTAGCCAAACTCGAAACGGGCTCGACTATGTAAATATTTAGTAACAATCGAATCGAAAATTCAAGGGTTGGAAACTCTGAAACAAATAATTTACACAGATTTAATGATTTAATTTGTTTATTGCGCACATCACTGCCAGAAAGCGGAAAATAATTTATCCTACGCGTAATGATGCCAACGAGTTTCTCTTCTCAACTATGAATTTGGTCACAGTATAATGTCAAACACTCGATTTATGCGGAAATTATCATTTCTAATGTTATTCGGGACAATAAAAGCGATAGTGTATGTAGAAAAAATATTTGCTTATTGAAAGCAGTCTGAAAATCAAGCGGATAATGCAAATGAACTTGGTTTGCACGCATAATAGTATTCAAAAACACTTTAATTAGTTATCTAAACATATAAAATTATTTGTCCTCACTGACTGATTCATCATCGCCCAGAGCAAACAGCTGTACCTAATAAAAAGGTGAGATTTGGTACATAGAGTACATGAAAATGCACATTAAGAAGGGATTTTTCGAAATTCCCTTGCAGGAGGGAGAGAGAGAGAGAGAGAGTATTAAGACTTAACCCGAAGAACGGATTCTACTGTACTATTTTACATATGTTTTTTTATTTTCAACTACGTTCAGTCTTCATCGAGTACTTAAGTGTATTAAATTGATAACATTTCAGACATTGTTATAAATATTTTTTATATATTTCGATTTTTTAACGAAATGTTCGATACCATTTTAAATTCGAGTTTGTTATTGCATATTGGTTCGATTATAGAACGATTGTAAACTATCCAGGAAATTGATGAAATCAAAAATAGTTCGTTTGATTCTCGGCAATTCTCATCATTCTCAGCGGTAGGTGTTATATAACAATTACAATGGTTGTTGAAATACCGAATATAATTGCTTGCAAAATTCGCGCGAGCGAAGTCGCGGGTAACAGCTAGTTTTTTTTATAATTAGAAGTTATATGTTAATTTCTGGTGGTGTCGAAAAAGATGAATTGAAATTGTAAATAGTATCACAGTAAATGAGAATGAACGCATCAAACTCATTAGTAACAGGCCGAGCACGACATTTATTTAATTATAAAAATTTAACAATTGTTTTTGGCAAACATTTTAAGGCTGTTCGTGATAAGGGCTTCTTATTAAATGTTATTGCTTTATATTTATTATTATTCGTTGCAGTCTTTGTATCGTGTAATTTCTGGTGGTGTCGAAAGAGATGAATTAAAAATGTAAATAGTATCGCAGTAAATGAGAATGAACGCATCAAACTCATTAGTAACAGGATAAGCAGTTGTCATTCGTCTGCAATGGCGCCTGTGCTGGTCCACCTGAACAAACATACGTTTGCAGAGCAGATTGCTTCGTTACTTCCGGGATTTGAAATGCAACATTTAAGAACGATTGGCCTTTATTTATCGCAAATAAGCGTATATATCTCGCTTTACGGCTGTACATCATACTTTTCCCAAACTGCTTATATGTCTCGTAATTGGGTAACAAATTTTTTTTTCTAAATAATAGTTAGTTACTACGCTTAGACAGTTACGAGAAGCGACGAAAGGAAACACCATTCGTATGCGTTTTATTACACGGAATATTAGCATCGATACATTCAAAAATTGTTCAGTAATTTTATGTTTACTATTCTCAGGAAACAATAAAGCAATAAATTAATAAAGTCTAACATATTGAATAACATAGAAACACGACGTTTTCTACGAATATAGCAATGGGAATGAATTTGAATAAAAATTTTGAATTTTTTATTTCCGTGAAATACACGAGATAGGTTAACAACCATTCAGCGCAAACATTAATTCTAAATTATGCCATGACCAACTTGACCAACAGCGCTAATAGCAGAAAGTGAATTTGTATAAATTTATGGTCATAGTTACAAATACTTTATTCGTAATTTGTATTAATTAAAAATGAAAATAAGTTAAATTTTACCATACTTAAAAATGAATTTTTTCCATACGCAACGTTGGTCTCTTTGCCCAATCCGAAGAGTAAAATAGCACGTTTATCATTCGATTACCTTACTATAGACGTTGTGGCCTCATAGTGGCATAATTTAAAAGTAATGCACGCAAAAGCGCTGACGTTGCTTCTGTTTCCTCGCATTAATATAGCATGAAGCCGAAGCCGAGTTTGCATGATGTTCTTTGATGCAATATTAGTAATAGAGTAATGAGTGGCACTAATCACAAATTTAATTTACACAAATAATTTATAAATAAATTTTTAAAATCGTGGCACACAAATTTATTCTAAGCGAGGTGGTTCGTAAAATTTGTTAGGAATTGTTCATTTAATTGTTGATACTGGCAAATTAAATTCCATTTTGCAAAATTAATATGTTGTATAATAAATACGATTTCAAATTTGTAATTTTACATATGTATTCCTAATTTAGTTTATCCGCAAATTCCGAAGTAATCGTGTTAGATAAATCGTGTCGCCGACTGATGATATCCCAATCAACATAATTTTAAAAATGACGAATAGTACGTTCTTCTAATGGCGAAGACGAGAAAGTTTCCCCAGTCGATGGGGGATTGTGAATTGTCTACAAAGAAATATAGAATTCTTTTTCATATTATTCGTTTTTTATTTGAATACAGATTTAAAGTGAGTACAAATACAAAATAATATTTGAATACGTATATATCAACAGAATAATGGATTTAAATTGAGTACAAAATTATTTTTGAGAAAAGGTAATCCTGATACTGTACATTCTCCAAATCCTTTTTCATCTCTGTCAGTGATGTCTAATGAATCTGTTTCTTTAAGAGTTGGATGCATAAAATTATTTGAGCGATAGCTGTTCCATCCTCAAAAATAATAATTTCTGCCCCAAAATTTTACATCACAACTCCAACGTTTGCGAAGTAGTCACAATCAATTACTCCCGCATTAAATTAATTATAATATTATTCAGAAATAAAGTCTTATTTCAGGTTTCTGATATGCCGCTAACAATTCGGGAGGGACTAGGGTCTTTTGCTTTGTCATCAGATTTTTTTTCTATTACTTTACCAATTAGTCCTCCTGTCATAGACAATAACGTCGCCAGTAGAAGAGGAAGGAATCCACCAGATTAAATAACCAAAACTTTTTTTGGTATTTAAAGGAACGTGTTTTTCACTTAACTTCATGATTATTTTTTATATTTTCGTAATTTATGAACATCAATGAGTACATTTCCTCTCCGTAAATTATCGCATATTTCTCACAAAACTTTAGCTTGATCGGGTGTAACTTCTTTCAGCATTGCTCTTTTTTGAGAAGGAGTAGTTTTGTCTAAAAGCGCCAACATATGATATAATTTTTCTTTAAGTTCTTCATTTTATCGTTAAGTATATCCAAAAAATACCTCGTTCATCCAGAAAACATGAATCCCTCACCGAAAGTATCTTGTTCGTTTTAGGGAAAAAATCCAGTAACAAATAACCGAATTCCTTTTCTGTTGCTTTTTTATGCGCATCCATAAAAAAATTAGATTTTCCTGCAAAAGCTTGTCGTCCGAAACAACTTACTTGACTTTCGTCGCGATTATTTTTAAACAAAATCAAATAATGCGTATTTAAAGTTATATCTTTCATAATTGTATTTTTCGGAAACGGATTTTGCATTATCAGGATCACGTTTACATAATAATGGTGAGACTCTGTCGTGAACAGGAAGGCAGTTTTTCAACTGAGTTCGTGCATCGAATCATCAATTATTACTAAATCCCATTCTTGCCCATTCTTGCACGGATTCGGGTAGACTATACACGAATGTAATATTTTTTTCGTTTCGAAAAACGGAAAATATACAGAATAACACCGTAAAAAATTGTTTAATGATTTTTCATAAACTTTACAACAAATAATTTTTCTTATTTATTGTTCTCGAAAGACTAGAAAATAGAAAATGCCTAAATAGCTCGTAATAATTTGCAAACTACAAAATCGTCATTCAAGTTATCTGCCATTTCGGGGGTGAATTACGCCACCCTAAACAACACACTAAACAACGTTTAACGGAATCTTAGCATTTAGGTCGTAATCGATTATTATAGGTAATCTAGAAACGATTTAAAGTATACGAGAGGATGCGAATAGGTTATAGGTTGACAAAAAAAAATCAGCGAATGCGTTATGCAAGTTTTTGCCAGGAAGAGTGACGAATGTGGTGAGAACGGTATCTTCGATAACCACATTTACGCATCAAATACATTGCAGCATATTGTTCTTATTTTAGACGAATTTATCATACGTCTTGATTTTAGATATCATACACTTTTATTTTTTAAAATAGCAAAAGCACATAATTTCTATGCAGATAAGTTAAACTTGCATTGAAATTTGTATAAACAGCTTTATTGTTTGATTTCAAGTTTTTAGTGCATCATTTTTTCTTATCAGTTGAAATTTCGCACTCTTGTGGCTTTCTCCTCGAACTCGTTGCCTTTCACTCGAAACAATGAAACATTTCTTCCTTCTTCCTCGTCATTACTATTCGGATAGTTTATTTAAATCTCGCTCCCGCACAAGTAAATTAACTATAGCTTTCGGGACGCCTACAAAATATTTTGTAGACACATCGTAATCCAATAAATGAATATCTTAATTTTTTGACAGTATTTTTATAACTTCGTGATGAAAAAGGAAAGAGTGATACCGCGGTACTCAAATTCGGTTTGTTCCTAGAGAATCTTCGAATTCGTTTTTCCCCAAAATGAATCATGCAAAGTGAATAAATCTGTTTTCAAATCACAAAAACGCCCATTTTAATTGTAAAGACTCAATTTTAACTAAAATTACAGAAATAAATTCACTTATGAATACGTAAAACAATGAAAATAATAACTCGAAGTAATTTTTTGGCCGATCGTCCGGCATAGGTTTTTACAGGTTACATCAAACCGTTTAACTGAAATGGCGTTCGATATAGTGGTTTAATAAACTCTCAAGAATATTGAAATAAAATAATTAACCTTCGTTTAACCAATTAAATCGGCTTGGAAGACCAAATTGCCGTAACTGCCATTCGCACATGTTTCCAATATTAGTTACGGTAACCACTTTTAAAAAATAAACATTTCTACATGGTTATTTGAAACAACTTTTTGTTTTATTTGATTACTGAGGGATTTCCCCGACTATCCGACTTAATAAATAAATGGGTTTTTGATAAATCATTTTAAATAGATTAAAAATTTGCAGCCCGATATTATGACCATGTGACAATTAATTAATTGCTCGTATTTTTTGCATTTTTCTGGAAAGGTTAAACTTTTTACATAGAATCGAACTACAGTTGATTTTTAATTTAAAATCACGCTTTCCACCTGAAATTAGTAGTAGCCTGCTTCTGTACATGATACTTTTTCTTTAACAATAGAGTCAGTCATCCATCTGAACACCTTTAAGTGGAAATTTTGATTTGAAATAATGCGACTTCTAGTTTGCGTCAAAAGTTCGTATATAGTTAGTTTTAGCCTCCTGCCCCTAAACATTCTATTCCCTATTCTCGAGATTAAGGAAAGACACACAGACGGACGTGCTACAGTGGGTCTACAATATTACAATAGCGACGCTTGTCAGATTTCACAGTTCGGATAGTTGCCTTTACAATCGGTTACACAGCACCTGTACGATATTTTGTACGACCTTATCTATCACGTTTACAAATTCCTAATATTTATGAAATGCTTCTATAACACAGTCAACAAACCAGTAACCCAAATATTCTAATAAAAATTACCCAATATTTCAATTTAATTACGACAATTGAAAGCACGAACACTTAACAGCATATGACTGACTACTCTTGTAATGGCGGATAACAATTATCCCATGAGAACTCGGGCCTGTTTATCTAGATGGCGTTGCTTTTAGTCACCTCTGGAGAATGTGCACCTTTGAATACGACGGAAAACAGCCGATTTTATTCGGTCGCTTCCGGTTGTTCGAGTTGTTAATTAAGATACGTGTCCGTGTGCTCTTTCTTCTCCCTGGTTTCGTTTGTGTGCCTCCTTTGGATTTATGTGGTGATGGGTTGACCGTCGTCCTTCTGCTTGTGCGCTTCTTCTCATCTCTTCTGCTTTAATGAATGTTTAAGTATAGTTAATTGTGTTGACCGACTTCTTTCAAATGAATCTCCTCATTCCTATTTCATCCTCTTACCCCAAGTGTCACATACGAGACCGCGTCATTGTCATCCACAAAAAGCTCAAAAACTCACTGTCAGAATTTTCCGAGTTCAAACACATTCACGGATAAGAAGTCCCTAAGGCTGTAGGAACCTCTCAACTGGTGACAATTAGATCATCTTGGTCTCCACATTTCATGCGTTAATATCAAGAATCTACGGACAATATTTTTCTATGAACACTTTACTGCCTTAAACAATTATTGAAAATTAAGTTTAACAACTAAACATTCATTGAAGGCAGTTTTAATTCCTTTCTATTAACGAAAATTATTGTGTCTGAAGTTAATAGTAAATGTTAAAACAATTAAAAAGTGTAGGTTATAGCAAATATTTGTTAATTAGCAGTATTTAATCTAAAGTATAATAGAAGTAACGAAAGATCATTTTCAGTTTACTAAGGAACAACAAATCACAATCAATAGTTTACATCACTCGTTATCCTCCTATCACTCACTATCTGTGTTCCATGTGTGGCTACTGGATTTATGAGCTCAATTACATTATCTTCTAAATTATATTAATTCTTAAAATTTTGAGTAAAACAGATAACGATTGCCTATTATCAATCACGTGTCGAAGCAGTTCCCTAGAAAAGACAACTTAATGATTATTTGTTTAAAGGTAACGATGATAATTACAGTCAAATGTCTGCTTACAATAAACAAATCTATATTATGATTTGAGAAGCGTAATTACAATTCCTCGACATTAAAAATTCACTAAGAATAAAACAAAACATACTTTATAAAATTTATTTTTTTATTTAATTTTAAAATTTTCTCTCCGTCTTAAAATGTAAAATATTTTCTCAGCATATTTTATAGAAAATACAAAATAACATGTAAAATCTGTGTTCTACACGAATATTGTGAAATCCGCTTTCTGCAACTAGTGGCAATCCATATTTCGTTTTATGACTTCCAAGAAAATTTCGTTATTATTAAATTAAATCTCCCACATTATATGTCTTAAAAATCTTACAAAACGTTTTCCATTTTTAAAAAATAATATCGAATTTAAAATATAATTCTGTTGACAACCCATTAGACTTTTTTCTTCGTATTAAAAGTTACAAATTATATTATTTATAAATTGTGATATTACTAGATTTTAAATAAAAATAATTCAAAAACGCAATATCGAAAACGTTAAAGCGAAAAACAATAGAATTTCCATGTTGTGGGTCAAATTTTTTTCAAGTTTTCGGCCGTGTTGCACGAGTTATTTTGTTGAAAATGTCCCGCAAAGAATAGAAATTCACAGCACTCGCCTTTGTTACAGGAAAATACTAAGAATATTCTAAAGAAATTATTAGAAAAACAGGAGGAACTATCATGATTTTAATAAATTAAATAGCGGAAAGAGGGCATAAAATAGAATCGAAATAAACGAATTTCAATAAACACAGAAGATTGAAACACTAAAAATAAAAGTTGTTGTTCCGTAAATTCTGATTTCGTCATCACTTTATCATCCTAGATTTAGATTCTTAACACTCACTAAAATACACCATTATAACATGTAGCTTTATTTTTCGAAATTTCAAAAAACGTAAGCACAAAACTTTTTATATTTATTTTTTACCCTTAATTTATGACCTCCACGTTTGACAATTTGTAGCAAGATGTTACGGCTGCATTCCTCTTAAACTCGATGAACACGTCGTAATATCCCTGAAAACAAGTCAAGAGTTAACTTTTAAGTAATTCGAATGCGCAAAATCAATTCGTTTAATCCTTACCGGTTTGAACATGCTTGGTAATTTGCAGCATGCGTACATACTTCCCGGTTGAATGTTGTTTCCGTTTTTCATCTTTTTCATAGGATCTTTCTCCAAACAAGAATAGTAAGCTTCCTTATCGATGGTGCAATTCTGAATAGTTCTCATCGTCTTTTTCATATCGAAAGCACTGTAAACAATTTACAACGTATTTTAACTAATATCAAAATAGAAAATTCTTTCATTCTTTCCTATTTTTCGGTTTACAACATTTTCGTTCGAAATATCTTCTAATTAGGCCTAAACTTACAATGCTTTGGTGGCTTCATTCTTCTTTTTTCCGTGCTCTACGACGGTGATGTAAAGTATGGCGTTGCACGTCACGGGTTGCAAAAACTCCCAATACATGGAGAACATAAAATTTGTTTTATATTTAATGGGATAAGGATTGGAGTTTGCGTTTGACATTTTCACTTCGTAGTCGTTCTCGTCGTCTGAAATGAATTTAGAAAACCAAAAGTAGCATTAGTGTGGATTTTCAACATACACAGTTGACGATGATGTTTTTCTACTTCATTCTCTCCTTCTTCCATCCTTCAGTCTCTAAAAGACAATCGTTTCTCCTTCCAATAAAACCAGGCCCCTTTTCCGACCTAATTTAATTAACTTCTATACACCTCCTTCTAAGCAACTACAACTAATTATATCAACACACATGAATTTTTTGCCGAGCATAAATTATTTTATTTTTCTAACGTTTTCAATCTACTTAATATAGGCCATCTTCGGGCTTACGATTAAACCGTTCCAAAACGGAACGCATCGTTTTTCAAATACGTTTTATTTTAAATTTAAAAAGTTTACAATAATTGTGTATATTAAATAAATGAAAGCATAAATAAATACAATAAATAAATAACAATAAAAATAACATAAATAAATAAAACATAGTAAAGTAAGCTAAGTATAACTATTACAAACATTAAAGGTTTTTAAGTCCCGTGCTTTTTTCTATCATACTTTCACGCTGTTGTAAGCGCATTAGCATCCTTGGCATTTAGGCAACGATTTTTCATTTTACTTTTATATATTTCCATCTTTCCATCTCCAAGGCAATGGATGGAGAGTGGACCGTTTTAATAACTTAAAAAGATCGCGTAACCCCATCCCCCATATGCCTAGAATCTTTGCATTGGCAAAGACACAGAAAGAGAACGAGGAAATCGAACCAGTAGTGGAAAATGTAACGCACCAACATATATACTAGTTAAATAGGTTGAAAACGTTACAGAAATAAAATAATTTATGCTCGGCAAAACATTCAGATGTGTCGATATAATTAATTAACCTCTTAAAGTATCCCTAATACGTCATGTTCGGCAACTATATCCAGCTGCAAGTTATCCGCCGAAAGGATGCGCTTCTCAACTTCTCAATCAATTGTTTGACTAAACGCTTTCTGTTATTGTTAGTGATTAAGTCTTGGTTGAAGCCAAAAACAATTTGCTGTAAATAGGAATGAATGGAAATAGGGTAATGAAGACAAAGAGAAGACTGAAACACCAGATCGAAGAACAAAAGCTTGCCAGAAAATTCTGAAACTACTTCTGTTTCAGAATTTTCTGAAACAGAAGTAGTTTTTCCATTTTTAAATTTCCTAAAAGTATTTTCCAAAAATATGCTTTTCGTTTTTGTTTATCATTTTCTACTCTCCGATTACAGAATATGCCTATACTGTACATTAATTGATATCATATAGATTTCTGGTCCCAAGCTATGCTGGAAAGAAAGAATATTATTGACAAGTATCTATTCTGAACTACTATTCAATTTGCATTTCTCGTTAATTCTTATTTGCGCTGCAAAAAGTAAGTAATGATAATCAAACTCACCACAATAAAATTGTTCANCTTCGCTCAGGTTGCGAAAAGAAAATGGGGAATAAACAATGACACTATGTCTATAATATACGACAGCATATTTCTACCGATGGTCACCTATACCTGCGGCACCTGGGAGTGGGCAGCTAGAAAGGTTCACACAAAGAGAAAGCTCATTTCATCGCAGAGACGAGCGCTTCTTTTAATAACTAAATGTTACCGTACCGTGAGTAATCGATGCCTTCAGGCGCTTGCTAGGAAACCTCCCATAGATCTCGAGATTTTTCAGAGGGAAAAGTATCAGCAGATTAAGTGGGGCAGCAATATTACGGTCTCGAACAATACCATCCAACCAGAAGACATAGAATGGACAATCCCATATAGCGAGACTCTATTTCCTATTGGGCATACTGCCAACACTGAGGAGAATACCAATAACAACTATATAGACATCTACACTGATGGTTCGAAGATAAATAACTCTGTTGGCTGCAGCCTAGTTGTGTATGAAAATTCTCTGGAAACAACACATCTGACTTTCCGCCTTGATGACAGGTGTACAGTTTTCCAGGCGGAGTTGTATGCCATTTGGAAGGCTGTTGAAACCATTGATAAAAGTCACAACAACATCAGTGTTACTATAAACACAGACTCCTTATCCGCATACAAGATTATTAAAAGCACAAAATTGCATCCACTAGCTGAGAACATAAGAAATCAAATCCGACTGTCAAACTGTAAATTCCAACTAACATGGGTCAAAGCCCATCAAGGGGTGGTTGGCAATGAGAGAGCTGATTCTCTTGCCAAGTCTGCCACTACTTTGGACAAGAAACATATTGTCTACAAGAAAATTAGTCGACGTTCGCTGCGCAGTTTGTTATGGGAGGAAACTTTACAACTCTGGCAGACAACTTGGGACCTAGATAAAGATCACATAACTTATAAATTCATCCCTGATATACAACAGCATCTACGGAATAAATGGTACTCACCTAATTTCTATGCTAACCAAATATTCACCAACCATGGTAAATTCGCTAATTACCTGGCAAGGTTCGTAAATTACACATCCGATGTATGCAACGCATGTGATGTCAGGGATGGACCAGACCATTATCTTTTTAATTGCATCGCCTTCGAAAGGGAAAGATTAGAATTTAAGATATTGTTGGAAACCTACAAGATCAGTTGGCCATTCAATCATCATGACATTTGGATAAATAAAGATATTTACCATAATTTTATACAGTTCGCTAAGAGGATTTACACTGTTAATAAATCCAGCTTACACAGCTAATTGCTTTCTTAGGCACCTATTGATATGTTGTCTTCTACCCGTAGGGACCACTTCACGCGAACTGTTGTGACTGCGGATTCCCTGCGGCCTGTACATTATGTTTTTATCTCTGCTCTTTGTTCACTCTTTACAATTATATATAGTAATCCGGTCATATTTATATTGTAATTGTAATTGTAATTAATCATACTTGTATTCTAGCCCTGATAATGCTACATGCGGGGTCAGGGCATGTACTTTGTACATAATAAATTAAATTAAAGTAAATAAAAAAAGTAAAGTAATATGCCAAGATATTTAAGTTCTTTCACCACCTTTACGCTTTTACCGTTTATCCTAAGAGTTGGAACACGCGCATATAAGTTTTGTTGTCTTGGCTTATTAAAGACAATAGCTTTACTTTTATTCGCATTAAAGCAGAGTTTATTCGTTATGTCCCATTCATATATCATGTTCAATGCACGATTCCCTTTGTATTCCAAATCAGCACGTGACTGCCCACCAAAAAGAACGAAATCATCCGCATAGGCAATCATGACATCCTGCCCAAATTCCTGGCAAAGAAATCTATCAAAAAGTAAAATCCAAAGTAAAGGTCCGCAAACGGAGCCTTGTGGGCACCCTCTCAAGACTTTACGTTGGAAAGAAAGATGGCCCACAGAAAAAGTTTCAATTCTGTTTTCGAGATAGTCTTTAATAAGTTGGTATATGTTGCTGGGGCATTGTAAGGTCCTAAGTTGATGAAGGACCAATGGCCACCAAGCAGAGTCGAACGCTTTACTAATATCAAGATTCAGGCCTAAAACATATTTGTTGTCTTCTAATAGGCTCCAAATTTTTCCAACAACCATTTCAATCGCAGTGGTAGACTTCTGATGCCTAAAGCCGTATTGAAAGTTATTGAGTTTACCTAAGGATTCTAGGTGCCAAGAGAGGCGGTTAGTTATCAGTTTTTCCAAGATTTTACCCAGTATTGGCAATAAGGAGATAGGTCTGACATCATCAGAAAAAGATGATTTAGGTATGGAAACAATGTGTGCAATCTTCCATGACTCTGGAAAAATACCAAATTGCAGGCACATGTTATAAAGCTGAAAGAGCTGTGTAGGCATGACATTCCATAACATTTTTGCGATGTCAACCGTTAGACCATCAATACCAGGTGCCCTACCCTTCTTTAATTCATGAAAAAACATCCACCTCGCTATAGGTGAAGGGAGGAGAATCCTCAGATATTAACGGAAGAGACCAATCAGCACGCAAAGTCTTATGCCAGTCAGAATCATCATCAACAGAGTCATCAACACAGAATGTATCCAACAGAGTTTCAACAGTGTCAAATAGGGTAGTAGTGATGGTAGTTCCAGTATTGAAAGTGGTAAGGATAGAATTCTTTTTTAATTTCTCAGTGCACATTTTTATAATATAACTCCAGGGATTATCTGACGCACGAGAACAAAAGTCTCTCCAGGACTGTAATTTGATATTAAGCATACGATCTTTGTAGATCCGTTGATGTCTTAAATACTCATAACGACGCCTTTTTCTTACCAATGGGTTAGGACAGCGTTTGTATTTACAACGTAAGTGGATATTCATTTTACGAAGCGTGGTGAGCTCACCGTTCCACCAAGGAACCCGTCGACGCTTTGGAATGGTTTTAGGAATATAAGTATCACAAGTTAGATTAATATGGTAAATACAGTGATCAATAGCACATTTGGCATCTTCTTTAGTGTTACATACAGAGAGATCAATCACAGAGTGAAGATATTCGGAGATCTCAGACCAATTAGCGCGTGAAAGATTAAACCGCGCTCTATTTGCCAGGAGTAGGAAAGAAGCACTGCCATTGATTTAAAAAGTGATGTACGCATGATCAGAGAAGTTATGCTTGTTCAAAACACGCCAATCAGCTATAGAGGTGAAGCAACAGCTGGAACATGTAGTAACATCAACCCAGGAAAAATAATTATCAAGAACATTAATGTCCTCACTTTTCTCGAGATCGACAGCAATACCCCATTTCCAATCCTACGAACTCTGTCAACACCAATCTTTATCCTCGATAGATTAACTCATTCCTTAATAATTTTACATACGTCATCACTATTACCATTGTCACTAGCATAATAGATCAGAAGAACATTTTTTGTTGCAGGCACATGTTTTTGATTAGTAGAGGAACCCCTGGCCTTAAGTGCAGTACTATACAGCTTGGTAGTGTTACTAACAGTACTTTTGTTAGTGTCAAGAGCAGTTAGGCGTTTAAGTACCCCATTCTGTTTAACAAGTATACTGTCATTTTTCAAATTATGATCATTCATTGTATCTATTTTCCCTGAGATTTCTTTTAACATATTAAGAACAAAGCTTTGTTCATAAATATTAATGACCCTAGTAACACAATCCAGAATATATTCGGTATATCTTACAGTGGAAAACTTTGAGTTAGCGTTTTCCGCAATGTATTCCTTAAGCTCAGTGATTACTTCTGAAGCTGCTGCACGAGCAGCAGNCCGAAAATCCCGGGATTAGGAAAACTTAATCCCGAAAATTTTGGGACTGAAAAGTGGTCGGGCTCCCGGGATCCCGATTTTCGAGATCCCGGGATCAAATCCTCTAAATACGATACATGTTACAAATGCCACGTTGTTAGGAGCAGCTGTAGTCCAAGTTAAAGAGACCATCTCTATATAATTTATCTTCTCTGTTCTTCTGGCTTCCTTTCTATTTGTGTCGATTTTTCTACAAAAAAGTTGTTTGTAAAGAAACAGATGCTACTTAACAAACAAAAGGAAATACGTGAGCGCAAAGTTATATTTTCCCATTTTCATTTCAATATTGCACAGTTTAAATGCTTAATGAATTTTTTGTCGAATTTTTCTTTAATCCGCAATGAGAGTAAAGTAAATAATATATAAAATGTTGATTACGATTAATTTCCACTCCATAAAATTAAAATATGCAAAGCAATCGGATAAAGAGGAAAAGGTTTGTTTGCTTTAATGGACGTTCTCGGGAATAATAAAAAGCAGGAAGCCGAGTTAGCAATCGCGTTTATTCAGCCATTTTGACGAAAAATAAAAATCGATATTCATAAATAAAAGAGCTTCGTTTACGAAATTTTTTTTTTTTTATAATTGTCGAAATTGTCTTTCTACTATTATTAAGTAAATAAGAATTTGGAAATGGTAAAGGGAAACGATTCATTTTAGTAAAGTAAATAATCACGGAATATTGTTTTTCGTAACTTTGTAAAATTGTATTTTTAATTATTTTGTATGTTGATTTCTAATTTTTGAAGTGTTGCGAAGAAACCGAATATATGATAAAAACGGTATTTATATTTATAAAACTTTTTTATTCTGAAAGATCTAAAAGTGCGGATCGTGTCTAGATTCGATTTTAGTTCTGAAAACGGATTATTTTAACTCGTAACACAGTAGTCCCTGGTACTTCGCATTTAATTCATTCCAGAAGTAGGTTCTAACTACGATTCGTTCAAAGTCTAAATCAATTTTTTCATTACAAGTAATGAAAAGCGAATTAATCCATTTCCAGATCTCAAACAATATTCATTTCGATAAACTTAAAACGTAAAAAAATAAAAAGTTCAAGCCTGTTCCAGTAAATCTTTTTAATTTTCTAACGTTTTTGGCTATTTATGCAGCTTCATCAACGCGATCAATAACGATCCCTACGGATTAAAACTAGCCCTGGACCAATTCGGTAATAAAGAAACACACTTTCTGGATCTGAACATCATCCTAGTAAATGGGAAGATACGCACAAAGGCCAAAATCAAACTTATTATACATTCCTTACTCGAACAATCCTAACAGACACAAAATGGCGGCTTTTAAAGTCCTTATTACAAGGGCTTACACACACACTGCACAGATGTAAGGGTCACCATAAAAGAGTCGAATAGGATCAGAAACATAATAGCCTCTCACGGATACAGCCAAAATACCATACACGTTAGTTAATAAATATAAGCATAGAACACCTACTCCATCCTTGTCTGTGCCAGTAACATATACAGTAGAGCCTCGAAAACTCGGTACTTGATAACCCGGCACTCCGGATAACTCGGCCACACCCTGGCAGGGCAAAAAATCCTTAGTTAATTAATTTTCATGATAAAGACAGCTTTATGCCTCATAAAGCATTTTTCTGAGGTCTGTCTTATCAGGTAAATTACTGTACACAGTGTATTCTTTAATTTTCATTTTCATGTAGTAAAGGCTCTATGCCTTCATAAAAGACGTACTTTTCTTTTGTTTAAGGGTATTTGGGCAGTTTATTCTCTGTTGTATTCTCAAGTAAACAATACATACACTTACTTTTACTTTTTTTACTTACTTTAATTTAATTTATTATGTACAAAGTACATGCCCTGACCCCACATGTAGCATTATCAGGGCTAGAATACAAGTATGATTAATTACAATTACAGTTACAATATAAATATGACCGGATTACTATATATAATTGTAAAGAGTGAACAAAGAGCAGAGATAAAAACATAATGTACAGGCCGCAGGGAATCCGCAGTCACAACAGTTCGCGTGAAGTGGTCCCTACGGGTAGAAGACAACTTATCAATAGGTGCCTAAGAAAGCAATTAGCTGTGTAAGCTGGATTTATTAACAGTGTAAATCCTCTTAGCGAACTGTATAAAATTATGGTAAATATCTTTATTTATCCAAATGTCATGATGATTGAATGGCCAACTGATCTTGTAGGTTTCCAACAATATCTTAAATTCTAATCTTTCCCTTTCGAAGGCGATGCNAATTCAAATTTGGCTGTACCTATCGAAATGAAATTTGGTAGCATTGTGACATTTATGATCCTCAATAAAGCTATTTAAGAATTTTCCCAAAAATGCAACCAGAAGCCCACAATACAACGACGAAATTCCACCGGAAATAAGCGATATTCTCATATCTACTGGACCGAATTCGACAAAATTCAAAATTGTACTCACAGAA